GACATGTTCTTCCAAATGCGGTAGGTATAGACTCTTCCATCTGCCTGGTCAGTTTAGTAGCACTTTTCTGTGCCTGATCAGCTTACATTCATCTTTCTTGAGCAGGCGTGATGTAAATGTTAGGCAGCATCATGCCTAACACCTACGTGAAATACTTCACTGAATGTGTGATAAGATTTTGGTTTTTTCACTGCATAGATCTTTCTTGTTAGATTTTAGTTAGGGAGCTCTGCATTTCTGACAGATGCATGTTAATAGTCCATAAATAAATTACTTTAGACATTGCATTTAAGTTATTGGGGTTTTGGTTTTGGTTTTTTTACTCCACTCGTCAATTTCATTGTTTCTTTGGGATATTTTGGTCTGTAGTCTTCCAGCTCTGTATCATCTACAGATTTTAGTAGCACACACCTACTTGTTTGTGCCAGCTTAATTAATGAACATTCTACTTGAGTTCCACATCCCAGTTATATCCTTCCCATTTGTTTTTCTTCAGTAACTGCCTATCTCCTCAGTAGCCACTTCCTTACCCACAATGTAATTCCTGTAGTATTAGTGCTTAACCTTCTCCAGTGTAACTTGTACATTTCCAATTGTTAGGTAGGGAATTCTGTATTTCATGAGTCAGCTGGTTTTGATTTCTAAGATGAAGAATATCTGGTCTGACCAATATAAGCCCAAGAAGATCTTTGATTTTTACCTACATCTCATTTTTAGCTTTTACCCCACCTGCCATCTTGCCCTTGCCCCTGTATTTATCATAATCTACGACACTTCAAACATGCATTTACTATTGACACCCTACTTAAATTATCTAAATTACCTCTCTGCTTAGCAATCACATTTTTTCTTAGTTCTTCTGTTACTTAACTGTTTTACAATTTATTCTTGTTTCCTTTATGAGATCTAACTCAGCTTGTGTTTTGGCAATTCTCAATTGATCCCTCTACTTCTTGACCGGAAAAACATGGCTTTCCCTTCAAATATTGAAATACCTATGAAAAGTTTCTATCATTGTATTACAAAGAAAACCAAACGAAACCCAAAAACAACTATATGTGCTCCAACTATAGTTCACAAAATCTTCAAACTCAGCCAAATCAAAATCAATTTTTGTGGGACTCCATTTAGCATCTCTTTTGCCCAAGGGCTATTTCCCTGCCAAGTTGCTGCTTTTGCTCCCACCCATTTTAACATTCTTCAGACTATTCAAAATTCAAGTATATATGAATTCAATCTGCATTTATATAAATATACAAGGTGGAAAAAGAAGTAATACCACTAATCAAATTCTAATACAACATGCTCTGAAGAACAACCAGTTCTCTCCTCCAGTTCTACCCCTAAAATTCTAAGGAGACTGTTTCAGGTAAGTGTGGAAAGGAAGGAAGTGCTACAGAGACATCTAGAGACATCTACCTTCTAGACAAGTAGTGGGTTTTCTGCTCTGGCTAAAATTACTTAGCCAATATTCTTAAAGACCATTATGCAACCAAAGCATCAATTGTCACACCCAGAGTTGAGAAATCACTATATATATATATCTTGCAGCATTCATGTGGCTTAGAGGTTTCCACAAGTAAAGTTGTAGTTTTTAAGAATAGTTTTATAAACAGTAAATCCCCTTTGAACAGGAGAGATTCTATAAGCAGTTCTATAATAATGCTACTATCAACATCAGCAATCCCTTCTCTTTGGGGACTTTGGATATGATATGAAAGTTGCATTCCGTAAAATGAAAACCAAAAGGGCTCCTTACAACATCAGTTACCACACCTCACTTAGGTAATCCTAAACCATACTAAGCACTGTAGTTTCTAGCTTCTATATTACTAATTTTGCTCTTCAGCCCTGAGCTTCCAAATAAGAATCTGTTCAGGGTCATTTTCCATGACATATTCTGCATATTCTAATCCTTGATTCCTGCAATATTTGAACTAAGCAATAGGCAAGTCTGTAGATCAGAACTGCAGTGCAGGAAAACATGTTTGTACTAAAAGAAAGTGGTAGGAGGGTGAGCGTCTAGGCTGGGCAACAAAGGAAAAAAGAAAAAAAAACAAGAGGGGTGAATACATCTGCAGGACAGGTCTAGTCCAGCATCTCTGTTCAGAGAGATTGTGTTGCCTATAAGGAGTTAGCAGCTCTTACAATTACATTGGCACACCACCTTGGAGAGGTGAGAAGTAACAGTCTGTAGTTGATTTGCCAACAACTGGTGTCTTAGAAGAAGCCTGGATTTTATTAAAGGCCTTGGCTCAGGACAGCAAACAAGACTGGTTCAAAGCCTGTCTTTAATATCAAGTATCAAGGTTTCTGACTGTCTGAAAGAAAGACTCTTGAAAAGGACTGGGTTACTACAGACCATTGAAAAACCATGAGTAAGATTTCTCAGTTAGGAATGTAATGCTAATTAGTCTTTTTGGGTCAGCCTGGGTGGGTTGGCTAATTAGCAAAAGTAATATACCCATGTGATTGGCCTGGAGTGTGGGTGAGGTTCCTGGAAGCACCAGGTGATATCTGGTGAAAAAAAGGATGTGTGGGTGGTAAAATCAGGACAGCTGCAGTCAGTGACTAGAGAGGGGGAAATACATCTTCAACAGAAAATGCACAAAGGCTCTAAACTTTCAGAACAGTTGAGGTAAGGATTAGCAAGCTTCTATAACCTTTATTGAAAGCTTAATTTAGGATAGAATAATTTCTTTGTAGATGGAGAGATATGCAGATTGCATAAGTACTGATGTTGTCACGTCAAGTCAGTTAGGTGGTGTGTGCAATGATAAACCCCAAGACCATTATTTCAGTGCAAGAAGAAATGGCAGATTTGCTTCAGCCTCAAGGCATGGAGGAGGCAGAGGCCCTGCAGATGTTGTTTTAACATTAAAGTAGATGTGAATTTAAATTGCCAGCCTGTGTTTTTAGTTTCTAAATAAAAGATAAGTTTTACCTACATAATCTTTTACTTCTGTTTTAGTAGAAAAATAGCAACACTCATATCCCCCCTAGTCATCCTCTGCCACTGTGGAGAACCATATAGATTGGTTTATGGCCCTTTGTAAGGCTAGGAAGTCTATTGCGTGGTAATTGTAGTAATGTAATAAAATATTATGCATGCTTTCTAACAAAAGTCACATGATCTGTTCGGTCCTCCACAAAGAAACTCTTGGAGGTCCTTAAGCGCAAATACTTAGACTTTCCCTTGAAGGGCACACGCCACGTGTCGCACTACAACACCAAAGGAAACACAGGCTCGCTTGGTAATATGGAGCACCCAAATGCCCTGAAGGCATACAGAGGAAGGTGCCAGGTGCATCAGAACAATGGTACTAGAATATGAAAGGAGTGAGCTCCTCTAGGGCAACTTTTCAAGGTTTCCACTCTGGGCTAATTTCCCCCATATCCAAGAAGTTACTGATGTAAATGCATATTGTTTCAGTGAGCTCCAACACATTATACAGAGTAGATACCACAAATGCTTAATGTTACTGAAACATGCATAGGATAGAATGTCAACTTTTACATGTGGTTCAGAAAATTAGAGGAAGGAGAGAAACAAAACAGAAGACTTTAACCCACACTAAAGCACTTCAAAATTTTCTGGTGGCTGTGTCTTTCCTTATGAAATTCTCTTCTTTTCTACATATCCTCATCCTTACAATGATGCTTACCGAGAACTATGTAACTGGGTTACATAGTTAACATAAGTTAACATAAGGATCAGATTTTGCCTCATTCATTTTGTATGTTTCATTTTTACTCCTCATTTGGTCTTCTGAAGGTTGGTAATTCTGAATAACAGAGTTTTGGACCTGTCCTACGTCCTTTTATTTCTGTAGCTAAAGCAGACAAGGCAATTTGCAACAGCTGCATACGACAGAGCATTGTTGTCTTGTAACATTTAAAAAGTGTAATGTCTAGATTGCTGTGCAGGAATTCACATCACTATGAGTAAGATTTATTTCTGTAGTTCTAAGATCAAATACAAATCTATCAGAAAAAAACAGTAAGCTTTGCGAGAAACATGTTTAATTAATTTTACATTTACTATTTAATACCTTCTGGGATTTTTCCCTCTTGACAGATGGCAATTTAATTTCTGGATCCTTAAAAAAACCCCAAGCTATTATGTCCAATGATTTAACATATTTTACTTTTCAAAATATTAGAGATGGACCTAAGACAGAGTTTGAATTCAAATACTAATGTTCCCAGAGGGTGTTCTGCTCCAAGGTTTTGGTTCAGGTCCATCTTTTCCTCTCGACAAGTATACATTTGAAAAGGATACTGCCAAATAAATCTCCTGTTTTGAAAAGTTAAGTATTCCATGTGTTTCTAATAACATGTCAGATGGAGTAGCATGAAGTAATTTCAATTATTTTTATTATTTGTCTGTGGTTTTTGCTTCCTTCTTTCATTTTGCTTAGCAAAACAGCTAACCTAGAGTAGTCCATCTCCCTTCCCATTTACAGTCAGCAAATCAAAGTGAAACTACCACTAGCAAAAAATCCTGCTGTGCTAGTGCTTCCAGATACAAGTGAATGTAATTAAAAATAAATTATTTCTTAAATTACACAAAGGTATCTGTTGAAGTCCATTTTCTATTCAGTCTATCCTAAAAAAGAGAGCAGAAGGAATGAGATACAGAAAAGTCATTCAAGGTGCTAGGAACCGAAGGAGAAAGACCATACACAAATAGAGGCACGATTTGAGAAGGCACTCCTTATATCACAATCACATGCTGCAAAGGGAAAACAATTTTTTTTTTTCAAGAACTCAGCTTTGGATTAGTCCAGGATTCATATATCATGTCAGACAGCAACTAAATTAGAAAATGTTATCTGGAATAAATTAAAAGTATATGCTCAGCCCCAACCAATAAAAAGATTTCTAATGAAAATGAAGACAAATTAGTGGAAAATTGGAACTAAGCTACTCTAATTTTTTTTCTCTTCTGTTTTCAAATGTATTTTCCAGAGTGGATCACTAAAGGAGCCAGAGCCAAACAAAATCCCACCTCAGCGACCACCACCTCAAGGTTGTTTACAGTACATTCTCGACTGTAATGGCGTTGCAGTAGGACCAAAACAAGTCCAGGCTACTTAGATAATTGAGACTAAAAGCAAGGGTTAAAGCAAAAATGAAAAAAAAAAAAAAAAGAAAAAGAAACAAACACACAATCCTAAAAGCAAACATACCAGTTTTGTTCAATTTTTGCATTGTTTCAGTGCTGACCTGGACTGTGTTTTTTCTATGCAGTGTCAACTATACCGTCTGGTTGTTTACTTGTTCATGTCTGTGCGTGTAACGCTTACCTACCTTTCTCTGTAAAATTTGTGATTTCAGGGCTGTTGTCAACAGTGTACAAAGAATGTGCCTCTTTAGAGCCCAGTGCAACTGTACATTATGGATGGTTAGACAGTATTTTTTGAGTATTATATATCGTTAAGTAAAATACCACCAAGGTTCAAATCTAAATACTTTTGCTTACTCTGTGAGTGTGTGCACACTGTACTCATAGCCTTTATTTTTTTGTGTGTGCATGACTAATAGGTAGGTGATCCAGATATATTTTTAAAAGTCTAGATTAGAATTTGCTAGTGAGGCTTTTTATTTATAATTTTATACAGTTTGTTAACATTTGAGTTTTACTTATACGCAAGTGGAAGTCTAATATTTTAGTGACTCCATAAGATACAGTTCTTCCCAAGGAATATTTAAAATATCTTCTATTTTACATACTGGTATTCATATTTTTAGTAATTCTACATTAAATTATTAGCTACAAAGCTATGTAAATGGGCCACCTATGTGCAATATCTCAGTGAAAGTGTATTTAATGTATCCTATTTCAATTAAGTAGTACCTTTTGTTGTCATTCTGAATTAGTAATCTATGGAGATTTTTAATGAAAACTAATGCAAATACTTTCAAAAATCATATACTTACCTAAGAGTTAAATCCCAGGTTATTTGGTGAGAAGTACCTCAAGGACTGTTAAACTTCCTGTTGAGCTCATTTTTTTTCAAATACTGAGATGTTAGGAGATGGTAGACCAAGGTACCTTTAACCAGCTAGGGATCTTGTCCTTTGATTAGAACGCAAGACAAAAATGTCAGCAGTTTTCTTTACCAACTCAGGTCTACTATTTTAAAGCTAGAAGTATCCAGATAGCTATAAAGAATATTCAGTCCCAGCGTTATCCACATAACTAGGGTTTATAATAATTGCTTGAAATCAAACATGCAAAAAGACTTGAGATGCCTGACAACTGCTAGATTTTCTGTAGGTAAATTATTTGTGATTTTTGCATAACCAATTTAGAACGTAATATTACAAGAAATACACAGACAGGCAATTAATCTGTTGTGAGAAATCTAGCCTAGAATCACAGGCTACAGACTGCTAGCATACCATAAAGCTTAGTTGCAAGTGAGCCACAAAACTATAATTTTAATCTTGAATATGTACAAAGATGAGTAGTGGCCATTAGTTTAGTGCAAACAATTTTGTTTAAAGGGAAAACAGTCTTATGTTCTACTTCTGTTTTCCCTAAAAAATTATCAGTGAGAATCATCATTCTTAGTGTTTCTTTTATTTGTACAAGCTGGCTGGTAAGATGAGAATTAAGGTATGCATTATTAGCTATTTAAATGTTTGTGGTAAGTGCTACTGTTTACTACCTATCAGTAAATTACATGAATATTTTGCTTTAGTGATCAGCATTTGTCTGGGTCAGTGATCATTCCAATGATGGCATTGGCTATTTTGTTCTATATTAAGAAAATTCCACTTAGAATCAGGTTCACAAATCCTTACCTCCAGACACCATAAAAATGAATAAACCATACTTCCCTGGGATGAAGAAATGAATCTGATGATTGATTTTATTTAAAGCAGTTGGCATTTTTTTGCATGTAGTAGTACAAGTATTCACAAGTGCTTTTCACACAACATTTGTGAGTTGTGTGTGCAAAGAAGAAGAGATGGGTGTTTCAGATAGGATTTCAGCTTGTTGACTGTAAAGGATTTACAAGGGCACACACTATTACTACATACCGCAGACAAGAAGCAAGCCAAAATGTCTCTCTGCATGTAAGCATGCTTAGGTGCAATATTGTGGGTAACAGGGAACAGATGTTTTACAGTGTAGGCTTAATGTTCAGTTTTGTTGAGTTATTTTTGGTAAAAGTTTCTTTCATGATTGTTGCCTTTTGTACAACCCAGCTGCAAGAAAGTGAGCAAATGCTGGAAGTGTGACAGCAGTATATCTTTTATGTGAAATATCTTGTACAGCTTAATGTGCAATAAAAGAAAGTTATATCTGTCTTCAGTGTAAAGTTTCTGGCATTCAAGCCTGTATGTACAAGTGGGGGAAAGAAACCTTTCTGTTTTTCAATATTGAGTGAAAGGAGACTAATAAGAAAACGATCCTTATTAAGATGTTGCAAGACCATGTTATCACCTTCAAATATTTCCTACAAAAGTGGTTCAAATTAATAAACAATGAAGGCACATTCCTTAACATACAGTACGTGCTATTTATCTTTCTACACCACAACACACTGCTACAACTGTATTAAAACTTACTGAAGCATTAGTACATGCTGTTCTCAGTCACATACACTGGAATCTCATATAGTAAGTAGAAAGCTAACTGTAACAGCAATTTTAAAAGAAATAATCCTGTATTGCAACAGTACTTCCAGATATGAAGGTTTTCTTTTAGAGACCTGAATAGATTAAGTCTTTTACTTGCACTAAATATCTGTGTAAGACTAAAAATTCCCCAATGTTCAGAACATCTAGATCAGTTGTCTTCTATAATATTTACTGTTCAGCAAAGCTCTTACCCTGACTGAAACATTATACAAACAGAATTTCATCCTGTCCTTCCTTCCCTTTAACTCAGATGTCCTGTGTGCCTTGTCACATGCAAGAATATTCAGTTATAGCAGCTATCAGCCCAGAAAACCACATTCAGACATCTGATATGAGATAAAAGCAGCATGCCCACTGATATCTGACACAGCACTATTTCAGTCAGAAAGCAGAAAAAAAACCCCTGTATGATGAAGTAGCATCTTTCAGCCATGGATTTCACAACTTAAGTCTCTACTACACATTGTAGTTTCACACTTGATACAGCATTTTGCCAGTATACTTCCTTCTCAGTGGAAAGATCTCCTTGGTAAAGAATTAGTAATGACTTTCTTGTGTTTTTTTGTAATGTTCTTGACATATTTCACTAAGGGGCTAAATATCTTATCAAAAGACTTTAAATCAGCCGGAAAATTTCAGTATAAAGTTGTTTGGTAAGAGGGAATCTAAGAGGAATATTACAGAAATAATTTTAAAACTGTGGAGAAACAAAACTGCAATAACTACACAGAAAATAGTAGCTGTATTGCTGAAATAGGTATTACTGGTATATTCAATTATCTCGCAGCCTCTCCTTGAGCTGGGCCAAAATTGTATTGGGTGTAACTCCACTGATTTGATTTGAAGTCAGTACTGCTACTGCTGGGATAAATTTTGTACTTCTTAGCAATTTTAAGGATGAATCATAGGGGCTCCAAGGAAGTTACTAATGTACCAACTGTGATTAGTAGTATTGACTACATGAAACTGCAGTCCATAGTAATAGAATTTTGCCTCAAAAGTAGAATTAATCACATTCAAGGATTATTTTAAAGTGTTGGATATGAAATCTAATAAGAATACTTTGATACTATAACATTATGAAGTTTTTCTTGTACTGAACCTAGGGGGCCCAGTGCAACCCCAAGGAATGCAATCACAAAGCCAGGAGCCATTGCAGCCACAGCGCATGTACCCCCCTGGGCAGTCAGCAAAGCCCTCAACTTCCCAGCCACAGCGTCCACCTGGACCTACAACTCAGCAGCCACGTCCCCAGGCTCAAGGTCCTTCCAGCACCAGATTAGCAAAGGAAGCACAGCCGCAGCTGCAGCCACAGCCACAGCCCTCGCCACAGCCCGCGCCACAACAGAAGCCTCAGTCTCACCCACAACTTAAGTAAGATTCGCTTTATCCATTTTCTTTTCTCCTCGTAACACAGATTTTGTTGTCATAACTGTAATTTGGGAGTTGGTCTAATATTCAGAAAAATGTGTACATATGTTCCCAAGTCTAAAATTAGGTTAAAACATTTCAGACAGCTTAGTCTCTCTTTATGATTAGTAAGACTATCATTAGTTACATCCTAAGCACTACACAAAATTTCATTTATTTGTTGTGCCCCAACTAGGTCTGAAAACTCGTCATCTTTCTGGTGTATGTTTTCTCCTTTTTATGTCGCTGACTCACGATCTGGGTGTGCTGTAAGCCTGCACAGAAAAGAGGAAATCTTACCTATTTAAACTTTTAACCTTGCAGTCGCTCAGACAACAGATTCCAGTTTCAAAAGGCTATCTGAGGAACAATCCAAATGAACATGCTAGACAGTGGCTGCCAAACTGTGTTTCTTTACGGTTGCACTTCGTTCGTGGTTATACACTGCTACTGACTGTATGGCACAAGCAATTCACACAGGCCCTTTCCAGAGAAGACTGCAGGACTCATGTGGAAAACTGCCTGTAGTTATCTCACTACTGGAAGATTCCTTAATGCACAGCATGCTATTGTTGCTATGTCTAGCCAGCCACATGCTACAGTAAAGAATATGGAAAGGATCTGTAGCTATGTCCCCTCTCACAGCTTCAACCCAGTGAACAGAAAACATGGGGAAGGTATTGGCAATGATTTGCTGGTTTTCAACATAGTGATCCTGACACATACTATTGCCAGTAGAGTCACAGACACATTCTGCTTATTATGGTAAGTACAAAGACTGGCACGTAGTCTCGGTTTTATCCAAGTAACACAGATTCCCTTTTTCCACCCACTCATATGCTAATACTAGCATGAACCAATTCTGAGTCCTCAGCTGAGCACAATTCAGTGGAAGAGATGTGGTAGGTGACAATATGCAAAGATGACACTATTTTCCTTGCCTTCCTAGGACAGTGTATTTCTTTATTCGGTTTTATAATCATAAAACTCAAATTAATTCATTATTATTAAAGCATAAGTAGAGAATAGGGAGGTCGATTTTCTTAAGCAAGATGGAAACTAGTTTATAGTTTGAAACTTAACTTGTGAACTTCTGACATTTAAGAAAAACAGTTAAGAACAGGTACAGAAAAACTGTACCACATACTGTTTCCCAGCTTTCTTCCTTTCCTTTAGTTCCTTGTTCAAATCTAGATTCATTTTGCTCTTCTTCAAAAGGAAGGGAATAGTGTCTATTTGAAAATAAAATAAAAAAAGGAGAAATTAAAGTTTTTAAGATGCAAGCCATAATAAAAGTAGTTTTTCTAACTTTCAAGAAGCAGATTCAGGTCCACACCAAGACTCAGATCTCCTGCCTGTAGGATTAACTCTATCTATTTGCATGCATATGCTTTGTATTCACCCACATGCTGTTGCCTAACCTGTATGTACATGTTATTAATCTGTGAATAAATATTTAATTAGGCTACTTATTGTGTTACTAATCAAGTCAAGTGCTGCTTCCCACCCTCCCTCTTTCAGTGAGTACAAACAAACATTTATCAGTCTATTCTCATTAACACAACTATAATTTATGAAAAACCTAAAACGCCCGTAGCACTGTTTGCTGTACATTATTAGTTTAGAGGTAGAGAAGTTGCAAACCATGAAGAGTGTAAGACAATCTGAATAAGAAAAGTGTTTCAGTTTTACTATAGCCAAAACTGAAATCCTGTTATTGTACTGAGATAAAAATGAAATCAGTTAACTAGTTTTACTAATTCATGCATATCTCTGTAAAGAGATTGTAAGTCATTAATGTTTTCTATTTAAATTCAAACCCACTTTTTAAATATTATTTTATCTCACAGGTCATGAGTTAACATTTTAAACTTCAGATATCAGACATTTTCCTTCTTGTATGTTATTTTATTCATGCTTACAGAGACTTACACTGTAGTTACATGATAGCACTAAAACCAGAATAGCATTGCTAGACTAACTGCATATAGACAATTGGGATTTTTTTTTTTTAAAGATATAAAGTGTCATTAAGCCTCCATTAAGGATCAAATGTCCAATATATATAGAGAGAGAGATAGCACATTACAACTTTAGGATTCATTCTTCAAATTCTTGCTGATATACCTAATTTTTCTTTTTGTGTAACTGTTTACAGCCTTAATGAACACAATTATTAATCATCCTGGGTTGGGTGGTGGTTTGGATTTAGCAGGCAGGCCCACTTTTTCCTCAAGTTCTAATTTACATCATCCAGTTTACTGGAACAGCATGTTTCAGATCTGTAAAAAAGCAGTGTGTTCTCTAAAGAAAAAGATTATTCTACTTCTCAAATCAAAGTACAGAAGGAACGTGCTGTATTGCAGCAGCTCTCTATGCTACATCTAACTATATCTCTTGTGTTGATTGTCCATTTTGTTCACATGCAAACTGTCTACATCTAATGGAGATTTTTCCTTTTCTCATCATTTATACAAGTTGTATGTGGATGGAAGCTGGTAGACAATATGACCATACAAAACATGTTGCATTTTTGTCTTGCAGCAAGTCGCAGTCTTTGACAAATGCCTTCAGTTTCACAGAATCATCCTGCTTCCGATCATCTGTGAATGAAGATGAAGCAAAAGCTGAAACTATTCGAAACTTGAGGAAATCCTTTGCTAGTCTTTTTTCTGATTAGCCAGCTTCATCTAAATGCACCTAGCATATAGTCTAAAAACTACGTGAATGTTATATAGGTTTTGTTTTCCCTGTGACAGTGCCCTTCTCTACTGTGCTAACTGTTGTATTAAGCAATATGTTAAACTTACAAAAAAGAAAAAAAATAGGAGGACTTTGATGAGATACCATTCAGGAACACGTATAGAAATCTATAAAGAAAGAAGTGAAGGGTTCTATCTACTAACACAGAATGCCGAATTCTAAGGTCCTTATCCATTGTAATATTGTGGCCTTACTGTGACTGAACTATATAATCCTCTTTGAGACTCCTTTGTAGGATTGTGTTAATAAAGCATTGAGTAATGGGTTTCTTCTTGCTTTACCCATTTCCAATGCATTGCAATGCATGTGTATTTTGTGTGTAAATGTTTTGTACTGCAAAAGTATAGTCTTGATTTGTTCTTGCCTCCCAAATTCAGGAGGCAATTCACACTGACATTCTTGTCAAGCCGCATAAATAATGTGAGAAATTGAAGCAGTTTCTTCCTCCTTATACAATCTTGCCATCAGCTGGTTGTAGCCTTCTGATGTATTGCTGAGAGTTATGAGTACACTAACTTAATGTCATAAATAGAGTGTATATGTACTACTGTATCTCCATATGTCTATTTAATTTCCAAATTGTAACCATAACTGGGTTTCGTTGCAAAGAATATGCATGATGTTACCCTTATTTTTGTGAACACCTTCTAATAAATGTAAAGTCCCATGCCTGATTTAAAAACATGTCTTCTACAAAGCTTGTTTCAACATCAACATATGTTGTCTATTTTAACTGATATTAAAAGAGTAGCTTTATGACTATAAAATATTTGGACACAAACCACAACTGTAAGAAAATAAACTATCACAAATAATTCCCTTTTTGAATCAGCGTCATAAAATTTATAAATTCTAGGAACCACATTTACATTTTCTAATAAGTTATGTATTTTAAAAATATTTCTCTAACATGCAAAAACAGAATTGATCCCAGACTTTGAGGTAATAGCAGCATTTTTTTTTTAATTATCTCCATCAAACTGAAGTTCATTAGTAATCTCCAGACTATCCATTTCCAAATTATTATCATGTCTTCTGCCTATCATGAATTACATGCAGCAGTATTCCTTGCCAGGAAACAGTGCTAACAGGGGAAACAAGAAAAAAATAACTGTAATATTAGCATGTCTAAGGGAGAAAACAAGCAACAAAATATTAACTTAAAAACCCTATGGGATGTGAAATGGGTTGTTAGAGACACATCTAATTGCCTCGGAAATTTTACTTCCTGTAGATCTGATAGTTTATGAAGTCTAGGTAAATCACAATCACCATTTGATGGCAGAAGTCCTTTCAGCAGTTTTGGATTCCTTTTGGTGAAGAGCCTGGCTTGGGCCAGGAGGTTGGCAATGAAGTACGGAAACCTTAATCTCCAGTGATGCCAGAATTTAGTTTGTACACTAGCATCTGACAGCTCTCTGTTTGTCAACATAGTTTAAGTTGATGATCTTAGCATATATATTTCCTGAAAAGCAGACGTGTCCAAATCAGGCAACACAACTGACACCCTTTTTGGACTGACAACGAGGACTGACTCAGTATCGTAGTTGAACAATCGTGCCTAGAACAATGCTTTCCTCCAGGTTAAGACTAAAATGAATTTATTGGGTAAGTTTGCACTGCAACATTACAAATGTTAAATACGTAGCATTGCCCTCCATAGGATGGAATCTCAGTCTCTCTGTTTGGGTTATAACCCTCATCTTTGCGGAACAGCCCTCAGAGAAGCCCTCTTACTGAATTAATGACAATTCTCTTTTCTTTCAGGAGGAATGTACTGTGTACAGGAGCCTGTAGTTTAGACAATGAATTCTGTGGCAAAACAGAATGCTTTAACTGTTAATAGTTTTTATTATTTCATAAATATCAGCTATACTTTGATTTTTTAAAAGTTTTGTCCCCTTCCTGCCCCCCACTGGATTGAAACACCCTTCACTGGGCTGCAATAACAACCTTGAGCAGTTATAGAGCCTTTCATGTCTGAGAAGCGCTTTACTTTTAGATTAGAAAGATTAATCAAAGTTGCTAACGCAAATTAATTACTGCTACAGAGAAAGCATAGTAATTATGCATAGTTTGGCATGGTTCATGATTAGTACATGCCTAGTTTCAGCAATATTTAGTACAATGTGAATTACAGGTAGTTCATTAGTCCAGGCCCCAGATTTCGACTTGAGGCAAAGTTTCTCGCTCATATAAAATTCCCTCCCACCTCTTCCTGGGAGAAAACGGGTTTCACTACAGTCTTTGTTTTACCATCTGGAACAAAAAAAAGAAAGAAAAGAAAAGAAAAAAAGAGAGCAAGATGATGCAATCAAATCTGCATGGTGTATCCTCCCACACAATGTACATAACACACTGCCTCTCCACAATGCCAAAACTTCTTTATACCTCCAAGCGTGCTAAAGCGTGTCACATGCAAGCTGATGCATGCTTATGTTCCTTATGCGGTGTTTCATGGTTAAGACATTTTTAAGCAATCTATAACACATCTCCAAAATACTAATCAGAAAAAATGAGTTTTTATAAAAACTCTATTCAAATATTTATTGTCCATTTTGCCTTCATTGAAAAGATCGTGCTTTGAATTAATGTGTAAGCTCTAAATACCCAGTTATCCAATATAATGCCATCTAGGGTTGCATAAATGATAACACAGAAATAATCTGAGTGTCTGTGGTTGTTCATCTTTATGAACATTAGCCTAGGAACATAAGGTCTGTACTTCGTTTGCACCTTTTCCATGGAGATGCATCTTATGATGCCACAGGATTCTATGTACAGCACTCCATCTTTTTTTCATGTTTCACTTATAAATCAGGATAATATGAAATCTACAGAGCTACTAAACAAGTTTAATCTTAAGATTGAGATGGAGGAGCCATTTTCTGACCATTAGGCCTGAAGCCAATTCAAAATGCTGAAGCAGATTTCAAGAGATTATAATTATGGACCAAGTGACTAATCTAGCTTTGAAACAACCACTAACTCCCCAGTAAAAATTAGTCAAAATAGTACTAAGGTACTTTGTAAATATTGTGTGTACTTTGTATACTTCCTACTCCACAAGAACAAAGTCACTTCTCTGAGCCAATGTTGTCTGAATGAACAGATCACATACAATAAAATTCCTATTTACAAAATTGAAAAAGTCAGTGGATATTGTCTGTGCATTGACATGGTCATTGCCAGTATTTGGTTGAATACTACAAATAAATTTCCTAGCAAGTTGTCCATCAACAGCAGGTTCCAGTGAGGTTGGGTAGGATGCAGGTGGCTGCATAAGTCCAACATAACTATCTAGTGCCTTTTTAGATCTCATATCATGATGCCTATCCTAGTAACCAAGATAGCCACACAGGGATTGGCAGGTATGATACAGGATCTGTGGGAGACCTAGGCTATACTAAAATGGCAGTTGGAAGCTAGGCAGGATATACAAAGATGATCTAAAATGGCACTAGTTGCCAATGTTTGGGACCGAGTTTCCTGTTATGTCTCGACGCTCAACTATCTTATCATTTGTAACCATTCAGGCATGGAGTAAGAGGCAACTTAATTGAGCTCTACCTTTCTTCTTCCCCTGGCAAAATAAACCTGTCTAGAAAGACAGTGCTGCAAACAAAGAAGCATTTGCAAATTTTGAACACTAATAGAGTTCATTTTTCCATACCAAAAATAACTAGAGGTGATTATTGACTCAGAGTAATTGAAGAAAGATGATCTAAACCGTCACATATGACAGCACAAATTAATTAAAGTTCTGAATGACAATACATGTCTCCAACATGGAAATGCTTTTTATTAGACATACATAAACAAGCAATTTTTTTTCTTCTTTTTTTGAAGATGTTTTTAAAATCTCATATCAGAATTTTCAAAATAGGTACCTAAAATTAGTAATTAGTTTTCCAAATGCATATTCAGTCATCTAAATAAGCAACCAAATTTGCAAAATCCTGTTTTCCTCATTTCCTCTAATTCCTCCAATTCCTCCTCATTTTCTAAAGAATATGCCACCTCAAGACAATAGTTTACATTAAGTTTCATGAAACATTGATTTGCTCATCTGTAGTTAGATTCTTGCAGCTCAAAAATAATTCAAGAAAGAATGCAAATATAATTTAGCTTTTTTAAAAAAAAGAAAGAGTTCAAATAATGTCTAGAGTATCAAGTGAGTTCTTTAAATTTTAAATAAGCCAAGAACAACAACAGAAAGACTATCCCCCTGTTTCATTTTAATATAGCCCAGGAGTAAAAGAGATAGGGTTTTTTTTTTCCCACAGATTATGTTACAAAGAATTAGAAAGAGAATCAACTTCTTTTTTTTTTTTTAAAAAAAAAGGCAGATTTTGTATTTTTTACTGGGACTGGAGTTTTGACTTCTCTTAGCAGTGGCATTGCTCAGAACTTCCAAAGGTGGATGTGGTGTTTAAAAACTGATCCATTTCACATTACTTGACATTTAAGTTTCCCAGTACGCAATATATATTATGGAGGAGAAGGTACCTGGCTTTATGGCTAAATCTTTGTTCTATAAAAGTGACAGATGGTAACAGGGTTACAGAAATGGGGTAAAATGTAAGCTAACCTGACAAGACCGAGAATGGATTAATTGGGAGCTTAACTCTTTGCACATGTTTTTTGTTAGCATTTGTCTCTCCTCCTAACCATTTCTACTTTACTCACATGTGCCTGTTTTTTCTGACCAATCCCAATCAGCCAAATTCTACTTTAAGGATTTCTAAGCTCTGAGGAGTAGCTGAATTTTTGTTTAAAGGCAAGATTTTGAATTGTTATTATTGCCTTGCACTGATCTAACACTCTAACTACTGATCTAACTTCCTAACACTATGAAGATAGCTGAAGTAAGTAGTAAAAAATGAAAGCTGACTGTTCATGTTCTTCTCTTGCTCTCTTAACTAAGAATGAAATTTTGATAAAAGATTATGTAGATTTTTAAAAGCGCCTAGACAGACAATACAAAAGAACTTTGTCTCTCCAGATAAGAAACGAAATGAAGTAGTGTGTATGGGCTGGTACTTAACCATTT